TTACATCATTAATTATTTTTCGATTACTCTCGGAAACTTATTTCGACTTCCCTTAGAAGCTTCTTCAGGCTTCGCTCGAATGATTCTTCCATCTTCTCCTGCCAGTTTTTTTTACTTTCCCGGAACTTCAGGGATGCTTCAAGATTTTGATTGCGGATCCACACTAGCTGCAGGAACTTTTAAGAAGTTCTGAAACTTCAGAAAAGTCCAGACTTTTGAGTAAGTTTCGATAAATTAAAAAATGTTTCTATAACTTCTGTTAAAATTCTAAATCCCAGTCCAGCGAACACCGGTGAACTTAAGAAAACATCATAAATATTTTGGATTCTTCACAAGTCCAAAAATGTTCTGGAAAATTTAAGCTCCGAGAACATCAGGACAGATTAATACATTTCAAGGAAATCGCTGAAATTTTAAAGGAGTTCCGAGAAAATCAGGCAATTTCCGAAAACTTCAGCATTGTTCCGAGGGGCTCATCCAAATTTAAGAAACGTAAGGGAAGTTACATGAACATTAGCACATTGTGAGAACATTTTATGGGAAGTTCCGTGCTTATTGATGGCAGTGTCGATAACATTTAAAAAATAAGAAAAATCGTGAAGATGAGAGATCTATCAGCATAAATACAAAAAAAAAATGTGAGAGCGCTTAAGAAATTTAATAATCTTCAAGAAAGTCTGGAGACTTATAATCAGGGAAGTTCCAAGTATTTCAAAGATGATCAGAGTACTCCAAAATAGCCAGAGGAAATATGGAATATTCCTAAGTAAATTTCATGAATGTTCCAACAACTTTAGGGGCATTGCGGGGTCTTCAGGGATGTTTGGACCATGATGACCATTTGGAAAAATTTCTGGATCATTAGAACATCCTTCAGGAGCTCTTTCTTCCGGAAATATGTCCTTATTTCTTTCGACTGTTCCGTTAACGCTCTGGCTTCCGATTTTCTCGAGATTTTTTTTCCAATCTACCTTAGGAAGTTTCTGCCAGCGTCTCCAGGAAGTTTCTTCCGTCTTTTTCAGGAAGTTCAATTAAACTTCTCCCAAAAATTTATTTCGTCTAATTCTGAAATTTTGTCCAGTTGGTTTTTTTTTTACTTCTATTGGAAAGTCTTTCCGAGCTGCTTCTAGCTTCCCCTAGAAATGGCCACTGCTGGAATTTATTTTCGATTTCCGAAACTTTTCTGCCTTCCTTTGAATGTGAAATCCGATTTTTTTTTCTTTAATTTTTCTCCAGAAGTTTCTCAATTTATGTCTTGGAAGTTCCGCGGATGTTTTTCCGACTTCTCTCAGAACTTTCCTCAAATTTCCTCCAGGAGAGCTTCTTTCTTCTTTCTCTGGATGTTGTTTTCAGCTTCCTCCAGAAGCTAATTCAAACATTCCCCGGAGTTAAAATTTTAACTTTCAAAAACGGCAAAAATATAAAATTAATTAAAATAGTAAATACCGATAAATACCGATTTTTTAAAACCTTTTATACCGATAAGCTTTAAAACATTCTGGCAACGCTGGTTGGTATACGTCAGTTTTTGGGTGGTTTATCTCAAAACTAGAGCACTTTGCGAATTTTAAGGACGCGTTTTTTAATGTTTGGTAATTCACGAGGTTCTTGAAACATTTCCAAAGCTCATCAGCAGTTTATATTCATAAAAGCATTCCTTGTAATAACTCTATTGAAAATGCTGCAGAGCCCAATTGTTGCACGCATTATTTGCATTGAAATTTTACTATCGCACACTTTGTATCTAATTAGAGGCTGTTCATAAACTACGTAGACAGTTTTTTTTTATTCTTGACCCCCCCCCCCTCCCCCTAAACTGTCTACGTAGTTTATGAGCAGCCCCTTATTGCACATCACATCACCGCAGCGAAGTGCGCAGTTTCAATCCAGGCTGTGTGGCTAAAAACTTATGTGGCTAAAAACTAATGTGGCGGCGATGTGGCATCATACAACGTGTATAAACATCATGTCGTAGTCGTGGCATGTGGCGAACGCATGATGTTTAGATATGCGTGGGTGCCCGGGCTTAGGATTCATCCCTGCGGCGTGATTGGGCTTCTAAACTGCGTTTGAAATTAATCTTACTAATATTTGATTAATAATCGTAGTTACTGAACTTTTTCACCAACGACTTAGTAGTGTTTCGCATATTTAGAGCAGGGCTCGACAATTTCGAAGCTCTAAAATGAACTCGTGTTTTGTTTCTCTCATACATACGTGTTCGACGCTTCATTTCTATAACGCCTAGCTAGACTATCAGCAAGAAACGAAAATAAAAAAGAAGGACGCTTGGAAGGAAAGGCTGGCTGTGGAACTTCTCGTCGTTGCTTTGCTCATCGCTTTCAATGTAAATAACGTCGATTTTCTAGTTAAACGAACTTCATTATGGCTTTCAATCCCCTTTCACGAACACTCTATCGCCGCTCTTTCAATTTGTTTAAAATGCGTTATGTCCCGTTTTCGATCATTTTTTTAGATAAATATATGGATGGAAGATAAATTAGAAATATGACGTGTAATCTTCAAGTGTTTTGACGTGAGAAATGCTTTAAATGTGTTATTTCATTTTCCGTCATATACGTCATGAAACCTCTGTTGATGTGTTTCATGAAAGAGAAATAATATGGACCAACAGGTCTGTGCCATAAAAAGGGAAAGAGAAAACTATCAAAGTCGAGCGCTCTTTCGCTCATCCATTTCGACGAAGCTTGAAAGGAAGACCAATGGAGCGACGGGAGAAAGAGAGACAAGCGATTGAACATTTGTTTGTGCACGCCGACTGAGGTTCTAGAATGCTGCGAAGCTGTTCGACTTTAACAGAAAAAGAAAGCCAGCAGTCTCTTCGTCGCATCGATTTGGTCGATTGAAGCTGATATTGTGACGCCCTGATTTAGAGGCATTAGCTTCAAAATTTAGAAGTCGGGCAGAAGGATTCTGTTAACCGTGTCTCTAAAATGCATTTGATCAACAACAATATTGCAGAACTACTCGAACGTGACGTAAAATAAGCAGTCGAGCAAGCTCAATGCTGCACAGTTGAATCGCCTACAGTTATACCTACCTTTAAGACATCAGATCTTCGAAGGTTTTGCTTACCTGTTAGGGTGGGAGCAGATTTTGTAGGCTGAAAGAATAGAGATATATTTTTAAAGTCATCCAATTATAATCTGCTTTAATTTCAAAAGCCAAGAAACACAATTCAGCATAACTGAGTATAACTATGAATATAATATATGGACATGAAAAATGTGTATTTGGTGAAAAAGCCTACTATTCCAGATTCTAATAGTACTGAAGAAAGAATAATTTTCCTATTTTTTTTCAGCAATGAATTTGAATTATAGTTGGACCTAAAAAAACATCATGGTTGAACCCCTTACTATATATAACGTACCATTTGTTTGCTTGGGAACCCGCAAGGCCGAGAGTCATAAAACATTCCTCTTGTGGATGTTATAAAGTGAGCCGTGTTGGTGAGAAAATGAGTTTCAAGTGTACTATTTTTGAAAACATAATTAAACCGAAATATTTGAAAAATTCTTATAAAATATATATTAATCATTGAAAAAAGCTCTTTTTCTTTATAGTTATGAACTTTTAGAAGAAATATCTTAGAACATATGGACTAAGTTAGTGCCGGTAAAAATAGGTCCAACCAAAATTCATTACCCCATGAATTGGTTAGGACAATTTTCAACAGAGACCACATCAGAGTGAAAAAAGAAAAACTTTGATCTTATGTTAGTGCCCAATTGTCGAAAGGTATTCGGAATTTCGAAAGATGTGATGAGGTGACGTCGCTGCCAGCGTATGATGACTGTAGAATTCTCCACAAAATTATGTTGGAATTCCTCTCAGATTTATCCTGGATTTCTCTTTTAAACCCCATGGAATTCTCCTCAAAAGATTTGAGTAAGAATTTACTTGGAATTTTACTCAAAACTAATACATCGTTTGAAAAATTAATGTAACAACTGGCGAAAAATTAATGCACAATGAATGAAGCAACTGTAATGCAGAAAAAAATCAGCAATCTTTTGCTTTCACTCAATTGGCTTTAAGCCGATTACAATACGGTGGTTTAACATCCAATACTAAATGGTAATAAATCATATTGTTTGGCTGTAGTTACAATAAATCTGTGATTGATTGGTGACATTTGATTGGCATATCGCTAATTTACAAAGCTGATAAACGGGACAGTTTTGACACTAACATTTATAGAGTCACAGTCGCCCGAGTACATATGTACGTGCTTCAGCTTTATCTAGCCGTTCCCTATCGATAAAATATATCACAATTTGATCTCTTATTCGATAAGATAGTATATTTCGTGAATTGAGACGAGCAAACGTGACTACCTACCATTCTATGAGGCCAGTTTTTCGTGCTTTGTATTAGACTGGCCCGTTCCTGTCCTTGCACATCAATTTGGAAATTTTCCGTTGAATCTGAACAGCTATCGAAATCGTCCTCAAGATCGTCCAACTCAACCACCGAATGGTACCGAACCAATTCTTTCGAGTCAGATTTGGCGCCCATGTCGGTAGGTTCACTGATCAATTCGGAACTTCCAACTTCATCCAGCAACCTCGGTTCACTTGAATCACTGGATGCTTTCTTTGTACTTTCTTTGTAGTCCTTGAGTTTCTCCAGCAGTTTTTCACCGGCAAACTCCATCAGCTGCTGCTTGGTTGACTTTGGAATCTCCATCACAACGCAAATTCTTTGCACCTGGCGCCAAGTCCCTCCACTCTCTCACTGAAGACTGACGGGATTTCTTCGTTAGTTGATTGAAAAATTTGGTTCGCAATCGTGCAACCCTGACTCTGTTATCAGTGCCAACCCTTTCACGACAGACGTTGCATGATCAACACTGGACTGATAATATGGTAGGCAAAAAGAGGAGCAGGAGTGTGTTGAACCTGCATCACTTTAAGAGGAGGCATTTTAGAGTAAAAGGAAATTACTTGTCGCAAAATTATCTTTATTGACGGTAAAATATGAGATTCGCGTCATCATGAAATGAACAACTTAAATGCGTATCACTTGTGAATGTCATTGACCAATGTTTCGACTTCAGAAGCCATTCGAAAACTACACCGACTGTGTCGGTTCCGCCACCCCGAACGCCGATATGAGCACGTTTACCAGCGTTATCAAAAAGATTCCTATCGTGATCATGTTATTAATGCGATCCGCTTTGCAAAAGTCGTCCTCATTCTTAATGTTGTATCGACTCTTCCAAATAAGTCCAATTCCAACGGCCACCTGGCAGATGATGCTGGTCGAGATGAACACCAAGCTGAAGTAGAAGTAGGGATGCCGCGAGTACGATTCAAGTACATAGCGCAGCTGATTGGCATTGGCCGAGAGCAGTGCCAGATCCATCATACCTTGGGCGAGATTCTTTTTCTGTTGATACACGTTCACATCTGGAATTATCCGCGCCCCATCTGCCGTTTGTATAACCTACAATCAAAAGCAAACAATAGTTATCAATCATCAAACCAATGGAAAGGTCAATTCTAATTCAGTATAATACCGGTGGTAACTGTGGTCCATACTCGGGTGCATACGGAAAAGGTGGGTAGCTGTCCCTTCTGCCGGGTTTCCTTCGGTCAACGTCCCGATCACGGTCATCCCGAGTTGGCTTTTCCGGTAGAAATCCGTCATCGATTCCTCGGTTATCGTTCGGTCCATTGGACGGTCTATCATCTACGTCCATCTCGGGACCGGCTAAGGGGGGCTTCTGCCTCGGCAAACGACCCTCGTCGACCGGCAGCAGTGGAACGGCATCGTTCTGGGCGGCGTCGGTGTCGCGGCGAGTACGGCGATTGGGCGATCGCTAAAAATGAATACATATATGGAATTATGCCGGTGATTGCTTTATAGATAGCATGGCTATAGGATGGGAAGCAAACGGTGTATAGGAGAGGGATTGAAATGCGATCGTCCGGTGATTGTGGTGGCAGTAATACAATTGCTTTGTAAGCTAATACGCTCGTTCGTGTGCTGTATTCTAATCTCACTTACTGTCTCGATATTTAATTCATTAAGTTACAGTAAGCATTTTTATGAAAACTTTTTCTCGTCATTTGCTATCGTCCAGGAAGTTTTCAAATTGGTCAACCATCCGTAACCATCACAAAGTAGTTTTTCATAAATATAAACTATGAATTCATTCTATCTGAATCCAAGCTAAACGGCATGAGTAGGAGTTCTGTGCCAATTTGGACGTATCGAATTACAATTGTGTTAATTAAATAAAACTCAAATTAGTTCTGCTCGGTGCCTTGTATTGATACATAATAATTATACGGCATGTAAAAATTTCTGACTTCCCTAGGCATTTAGTATCGTTGTGCATACCATGATACGAATTCAAAATATGAAACTGGCATAAAAAACTATTAATGGACGACTGTGGAAGTGTTCAAAGAACATTAGCTTGACGGTAAACGTAACGTTGGATCGTAAAAGCCAAAAGAAGAAGCAGATATAGAAATTAACTACTGGCATAATTATGAACTACCCAACAAACAATTTGAGCTGATTAGAGGCTGAATAAGCCATATTTTAGCTGAACAAGCATATTTTTGTCTGAATAAGTTCTTCTTCTGCTTACAATGTTTGTTGGGTATTGTTCACCATCAAATCGAACAGTTTCGTGACAACCGACTGGGAGGGACATACGATTGGAGTTACAAGCGCTGCTGCAACTTACTTCCAAGCTCATCGTCGGGGACTTCAATGGGCACCATCCGGACTCAATGGGCACCGTCCAGACTCCTGAGGTTCTACCCTAGCAAACATTTTTCTGGTGGTGCTGAACGACGGCGCTCCCACCTTTTTTTTAATGGACAGGGCACAGTAACGACTTGCACGGTAGTGACCACTACCCGATCCGCATACAGCTTTCCGTAGCTGCGGTCTCCCCAACGACTCGGAGACCCAGGTGGCGCTACGAGGAAGCCGACTGGAATATTTTCAGGAAGAAATCAGACGCTCTCTTTCAGAAACGCGATCCGAACGACATATCCAGACTCACGAAAGCACTCTAAGAAGCTGCAACAGGATCCATCCATACGTTGGTGGAATGAGGAGACCAAATGTGCGGTGAAGGTGCGGCGCAAAGTTTTACGCCGGATTAAGTGCCTCACCTTAGAAGATCCTGATAGGAAGGAAGCATTGAAGTGTTACCGAGAATGCCATCTCTAGTGCAGACAGGTGATCCGTGATGCGAAGCGATTTAGCTGGATGGATTTCCTGGATTCAATTGACGAATCCCAATCATCGCGCGACTTGTGGGATCGCAGCAAGCAGCGGTCTACTCCTGCTACTATCCAAGCTCATGGCACCGCGATCTCAGAACCGAAGGACATTGCCGACGAATTAGGGAACTATTTCGCCGGTTTGTCTGCTATCAGTGGCTACGACAACGATTTCGTCCAGCACGTCAAATCCTCCATAAGCAGCATCCGTGACTTGCGAATTCCACCCGATATTCCTTCATTCCTGATCAACAAAGCATTTACCTTCCGGGAACTTCAGTTTGCCCTCGGCAGCAGCAGTGGTAAATCTGCCGGGCCGGGCGAGATTGAATACCGGTTGTTAAAAAACCTCTCCCTCGACGGAAAAACGAGGCTACACGCCCTCTTCAACGATCTGTGGCTCACCCACTCGTACCCTGGCTTCAAGAAACAAAGCTTGGTAGTGGTCATTCCAAAAAGTAACGCGACAAGTAGAGAAGCCGGATTGCGCTCAATTGCTGCGCGACAACAGTGATGGAGAGAATGGTAAATCGTCGTCTCTGGCAGGTCCATGGAGGCTAATGGCCTCCTTGACGAACCACAACATGGGTTCCGGCAAGGACACGGATTCTCTACTTACTTTGCGGCTCTCGGGTAAGAACTTAAGGAAGCCCAGGACAACGGTCACCATGCTGAGTTAGTCTCCCTTGATATTTCAAAAGCGTTCTACAGGACGTGGATCCCGCGTCATCAGGCAGCTCATCGTTTGGGGCTTGGAAGGTCACATCACACACTTTGTAAGAAATTTCCTCCTTTCCAGTCAGCGCCGCCGGGATGTTCTGAGGCATAATATCTCTGATCAGGGAAGTAAAGCCGTTGGTCCCCGGTTCATGAGTTGATGGGTCGATAGGTAGGGTCCAGGTGTGGGAGCTGCCTTCCTGGTGTCGGTAGCATTTGTGCTCAGCACGGAAAACAAGATCGACGGAAAACAAACCAAAGGAAAAAAACAAAAACCTTTGTCCATCTTTTAAACATCTAAATCTGGTGATTTTAATCAGCCAAAAGCTTAACAGTAATATAAATTATAAACTTTTTAAGTCATTAAATAACAGTCATTGCCAACCCTTATTCAGCTTTCTAGTTTATTTCAAAAAAATAATGGAAGACCGCTACATATCTTATATTTTTAATGAGACTGCTTTACCATGTTTGCTGACTAATTGAAGTTTCATATTTATATTGTTATTATATGTCTAAAAATTACCTTTGCATTCCGGGATTCAAACCGGCAGTCGCTGATTCACAGGCGTCAACTATATCTACTGGACCACTTAAGCACTGTGTGGCAAAAGGTATGATCATTAACTTGAAGCACGTCAACTTTAAGTTGAATAATAGCAGCAATTCAAAATTGTAAACAATAAATTGTGACAGTCCTCTCATTTTCAAGTGCAGTAAACACAATGTGAACACAAGTGCGCGATTTATTTCGATGGTCATTTGGATGCTATGTTAATGCCAAAATTGAGTTATATTTTTTAAATGCGATCCGAAAATTATGTGCAATATAAAGTGGTGAACAGAAAAAAAAACATAGGAATACAAATGTTAATACTTCCGACGTCGTCGCAGTGCACTTCTATCTGGAGCTATTCCTAAAAAGCTTCTCTTTCTTGTCTCTACTGCGGGCACTGCTTGGGATTAGAAAGGTAGGCAGTGAATTTAGAAGAACTTGAATGTCGGAAATGCATTTTAATGACGACATTTAACACTTTTGTGCAATAGATCCATATTATTCTGTCAATCGAGTAGTGTTAAGCTTGAATAAGTCTTATTCAGTCTTTAGATCAGCTAACCTACTGAGGTTAAATTATATAGATACAATTCGCTTTATGTACTACTAACCAACTATATATTCAGCCTGGTGTTAATCAGCTTCGTATACCTTAATTCAACCAACCAATAATCAGCTTCTGTTCTTAATGTTCAGCTTGAATTGTTACTTGGGTAAGGCGTTCTGTTTCAGAGCTTCTCGGGTCAGTTCATCCGGGACACATTCATCGCTTTACGGACGAATCGCAGTCGCGCGCTGGAGTGGCAGGACCGAACACTGCAACAAGTTAAAGTCTACCGGAGGAGTGTTCCGTCTTTTCCGCAGAAGCCGCAGCTATTGTCGATGCGGTCATCACTCCGGCAGATCAACCAATCCTCGTGCTAACGTATTCACATAGCGTCATCCAGGCGCTGGAAGCCGAATCCCCGAGCCACCCTGGATACAAGCCACTACAAGGTACGCCCCACCTTCAACCGTCTTTACGTGGATTCCCGGACACTGCGGTGTTCCCGGAAACAAGGCTGCGGACAGACAGGCGGGATCTGGTCCATCCGGTCCCCACTACACCAGGAATGTACCCCTCCTAGCCGTCAGGCGTTGATTACCAATACTATCATGGAAGCCTAGCAGCAGGAATGGTTCCAGTCGTGGACCACTTCCCTGAGAAAGATCAAGGAAACCATACGACCCTGGCCGGACAGCCACAAGTACAAGGACCAGTCGATCATTTCAAGACTCCGGACTGGCCATGCGAGGATTTCCTGAAATTTCGGTGGGACACCTTTCCACAAGGTTTGCCCAATTTCCGGCATCCCAGCCTCGGTGGAACACGTACTGTGTGTCTGCCCGGAGTTCCAGAGGCTACGCAAGCAACACTGACTCTCGGAAAACGTCAGGAATATACTTGGTAACGGCCCCTCGACGTTGACTGTGCTGATCGCTTTCCTGAAGGATGCTCACCTGTACAACAAAATCTAGCGCTCTTGTCGTTGGCTGCGCTGATCGTGTTCTCTTCAGCTTTTTACTTTTTCTGCCGTCGGGATATCTCTCCACCTTGTTCGGGAACCCATTCCTCACCACAGTTCCGTTGTAATTCTCATTTTACATTAAGTTTTTAAGATGCTGTCTCTTCCTTTCGGTAGGTAATTAGATTATTGTTTGTTGTGAGCAATCATTCACATTTGTGATAAAATTAGGTAAATGTTTTCAAAATGCAATATTTGACATTTTCATATGAATCGAAGCACTAAAACGTCTCTGCTAATCGAACTGATGTCTGAGTTTAGGCAAAAATAAAGTCTTTGTAGGAAAGATTTACATTGTATTTTTTTATGTTCTGGCTACCTAGATATTATTTTCAATGTTTCTCTTCATATATTTATCATGGCTTCATTATATTTAGATTGATTTTTCGTACTACGCTTTTCGTTTTCTTATTGTTTGGAAAATCTTTTCCTTCTCGTCTTCGCTACAATATAGTTTATAAATTTCATCCGTTTTTCTTTTGAGACATTCCTTTTCCTCTGCTAACTCATTCCATTTTTCTATTTCCACTTCCGGCAATTTTTTCCATATCTTTCTTAATTGTGTCGTTCCACGTGAACGCCGGTCTTCCTTGTTTCTTTCTACTGGTTCTTAGGTTTATTGCTCTTTTCAATAAATTATCCTCTGGTCTCCTTTGTATATGTCCTCAATAGCAGATACGTTATACTCTCACTCTTTTGACTGCAGTTTGTCGTTCTAAAATATTTGCTGCGCATA